TGTTAAGAATTCTTGGTTGAATTATTATGTATTGTTTATTTTCACGTGTTTTATTTCATCTGTTGTATTGACTATGACCTAACGTTCATGTTACTTTTAGCCTTTAGTGTACAGCTGTGGGACCGCTCGTCTGTGAAGCGCTACCTTTCTGGACATGGGTTTAGGGACCAGACAAAGAGTTATTAAAAAACCTCCATGAGAAGATCACCCAGGAAACAGTTCCCCCTGCGTGGGGTTACCAGGCCCAGGATGTGGCTGGGCACAGCCAGGGAAAGGGACAGGGGCCTAGGGCTGCTCAATTAATCGAATTGTAATCACGATTACGATCTGGGCTTTCAACGATCATTAAAAATGACTGAGCCGATTATTAGCCCCTCCCTCATTTATCCGCGACACCTTAAAGGCCGGTCCGTGAAAATATTGTCGGGCATAAACCGTCCGTGGCGCAAAAAAGGTTGGAGACCGCTGATTAAGAGGACCCGAGGGAAGCTCGGAAAGCTAAGCAGAAGTTATTTGGAGAGGAGAGTGACTGCTGTTGGTTGAAAAGAGTTTAAAAAAACAAAACTTCAGTGGTGTTGCACACTATTTTATATTATTTTTTAAAGTCATTGTTAACCCTTTAAAGCCGGTCAGAGCAGCACGCTCCGTTTTGTGTAACTATTGTTAAATCCCTGTAGAACCGGAACCGTGTAAGCTAGCGCAATAATTTGTTTTGCATATGAAACCGGAGGAGTTGTACTTACATCTGATGCCATCAGCTTGTCCTCGGTCACGGTTTCCTTCCACATATAGCTTTGCAAAAATTGCATAAAAAGCGCTTGCAGGAACAAAAACATAATATTCCAGAAACACGCTTTGCCGTTCCTATCAGCTGTTCGTAACACTTCCCACAGTGAAATGATGCACCTGCTGTTTTCTTTGCAAATTTGCATCATAGGATTGTTTTTTGTTTTTCCTGCAGTATATAAAAATTGCTGTATCTCCAAAATAAAACTATGAAGACACTCAAATAAAATTTCCTGTGGTGGGAAACTATTTTTTGCAACTTTATTGTATTTAAAGTTTTGAGGGATAAGCCTCTTAAATTTCTCAAAGTAGAAATATCTGTAAACAAAACAAAAGCGATTTTCAATTTTTTGTGTAGTTTATTGCACTTTTTTGCAATTTATGTAATTACTATGGACTTAATGCAGACATATTATTAAAATATGGGCTATAACAGTCGTATTGATGTATAGCAACTTGAAATGCTCCCACAAATGGCACTGCAGCATGTAAAAAAAAGAAAAAAAAAAAAAGCTCTGGTGGACTTGGTTCTATAGTAGGTCTTAAAGGGTTAAATAAATATCGTCAAATAATCGTGATCTCAATTTCAGTGAAAATAATCGTGATTATCATTTTTGCCATAATCGAGCAGCCCTACAGGGGCCCATCGCTGTACTACGGGCCATTTAATCCTTAAGCAACCACTGCAAGAACTTGGTCCGCAGAGCCATCAGTAGGCAGGACTAGTTCCTGGTGGGACATGGTACTCTCACCGATTCTGTTCAGAATCTTTACGTACAGAATTTACAGGCGCAGCCAAGAATCTCGTCTCTGGCTTTGGTGCAGATTGGTTCTGTTGGTTTCATCAGGTGGTGTCCTCCAGCGCGCACTGGAGCGGCTGCAGTGATGCTGCACCGGTCCATGGTGGTGAAGAGAGAGCTCAGCCTCCTGGGCAAGGTGCGCTTGTCGTGTTCTCCGGGAGGCGGCCAGCAGGAGGGAGGTCTGGTACGCTCAGGCTACTGCCCCGTGACCTGCCCCCCAGTGAAGGAGGACGGATGGATACCCCTGATCTTCATCAGCACTTCACTAAGAATTCATTGATGCTTCCTTCATTAGTACTTTCTTGGTGTGGGTGTGGCCTCACACAGGCGTGTCTGGTTCGTGGTGATGTCACTGCAGCCCTGCATGTGTTGTGTGTCTATGATGATTTTATTGTTGTACTTTCATTTGAGCAGCACAAATCTGTCCTACACGAGTACTGCAGGAGTACTGCAGGAGTACTGGGTACTTAGTTACCTCCCACATGGGTTTGATGCCCTCCTTGAACAGGTGGAAGTCGCTGTGCCCGCTCAGGTCGCCTGGCCTCACCAGATGACTGTAAAACCTCCAGAACTGCTCCACCTGAACACATTATTGGTTATCAGAACGATCGATCGCACAGACTTACTGATCCGGTCAGACTGATCATGTGACTGAATCAGAGAGAGAAGAAATAAAATCGTGTCAGACTGAAACTATCAGTAAAGCTGACGGGGTGTGGTCTCAGAGGAGGCGTGTCCTCACAGAAAGCTGTCCATACGTACCGAGGCCACGGTGCCGATCTGTCGTATGTTCTGCTCGTAGCTCAGAGAGCTGGCGGGACGACTCGGGGTCCTCCTGCTGTACCAGAAGGTGTAGTTATACTGCAGGGGGTGCTCACCTGCACCTGGACACACCGTCTGCAGGTTACAAAACACACACATCACAGCTGCTGCCCAATCAGGTCCTCACAGTCTGAGGGTTTTAAGAGTGTCTAAACTCAAGGTGTGTGCCCAGTCAGGGCCGCGTCCTTCGGAGGCCGCGTTTGAAGGCCGATTACGTCACAGTGACGTGATGAAGGCGGTCCTGAATCGAAGGCTGCTGCAAATGCGTCGTCCTTTTCCTCAGATTTCAAGGATGGGTTATGATGTGGGTTGGCACATCATATCCCAGGATTCATAGCACAGCAGAGGATAAAGTGGTGCGGCCGCAGAGTAAACAAGTGCTGAGTTTTATGACTCTTATTTATGCGGCGATACAAAAGTTCCAACAGGAACATTAAACAACACTTTTAGCTGCCTGTCAGCAAAGTCACGTGACATTGTTTTTATGAAGCACTTATAATGTTCAAACAGTTTAATCTGACAGAGATGTGAGGATTTCATGCATAATTACAGTCAGTCATATATCCACAAACACAACTGTTGTCTGTCCTCTAACGCCACGTGTCTCAGTGAGACTTCCACCTGGGATAACATCACGTGCCTACAGACACGAGCACGGCGTGAACAGGTAACCAGGTAAAACAGAGGAACAGGTTACCTTGCGCCGGTTGTTGTTGTTGTTGTTTCCATCGGCATTGTCAACGTGACAATCTGTCTCCTGTGCGTTGTCATCTTGGGGACTGAAAGACAAACAGGAAGTACTCAGCAGGTAATCCCAGGTGTCACCTGAGGGACGTGCCCATGGTTTATGGTGGACGAACAGCTAAAATGCTTGAGTCATCTCTACGTTTGCTTTTCCACTGATATGTAGCCTGCATGTATTACCACAGCAGGGCCGCTGTACACCGAACGACCAGCAGATGGCAGCAGTGAGCTGTTAAACGGGGCTTCGTGCGGCCGAAACCATTGGCTGGAAAGATTCGACACACCGCACCGTCACTACTCACAGGTGAAGTCGCCCCTTTATCTCACGTCCTTCCTAAACTCCATTTAAAAGACGGAGCCCTGCGCTGACGTCACACCTCCACAGGTCCTCTCACTTGTACAGCGCACGCGACCGTCTCACGCTCCGAAACAAACGGACTGTTCAGGGAGGCTGTGTCAATAAAGTTTAGACCCCGACTGCCTGGATAAAAACGCTGTTGTTAACGGCTAACTCTTATTTCACGCAGTCTGTTTAAATAAAGTTTGAATGAATCACACTGGATGCTAGCTCTACGTGCTCGAGCGTTATCTGCAGTTATTTCCGGGTCAAAGGTGAGCCTTACCGCTCCAACTGATCCATCTCTCCTCCGTGTCTCGTTCTGCTCCTTATCTCCGCCTGTATCACCTGTACTTTTCTATTTTTAATCTATTGTCCCTACTCGGCTTCTACTCAACACACTGGACTGCGGTGACGGCTTCTGTCAATGCGCATGCTTACGGCGGAACAGTGGACGGAAGGCGCGAAGGGACAAATTTAATAGCTGTCACTAATCGCCCTTTCACGAAAGGTTTTAAAAGCGAAAGATTATGTCCATAAGTATGGAGTATGGAGGATCAACGCGGGATAATTGACTTCATTAAAAATAATAATAAGTGATGTATAAACATTATGGCGGACCCACAGTGCATAAACTACAAAATTATATTTATAAATATATGGAGGACCAACACTGCACAATCAATACATTAAAAAAACGATAAACGAAAATACACCGTTCTCCATTAATGTATGCTTCTCAAGTCACGTGATCTTTATTTATAAAGCACATTTAAAGGACATCAAGTGTCCGCCAAAGTGCTGAACAGAAGGATAGCATAATCAAATAAAAAGAATTAAAATAGATGAAAGATGAAAAAATAGAAAACATTGTGACATCCCATATGTTTGTAAAAATATATGTGTACATGCAAATATGCACATACATATACAAGAGTGTACACATTCACACACAAGCACACATATGTGAACATAAAATACATGTATACGTTTGTACAAGTGCAAACCCAACACATGTCTTTAGATGGTTTGATACAGGGGTCCCCAATCCCAGTCCATGAGGCCGGTGTCCCTGCAGGTTTTAGATCTCACCCTGGGTCAACACACCTGAATCACATGATTAGTTCATTACCAGGCCTCTGGAGACAAGACAGTTATTTATCTATTTAAATCAGCTGTGATGGATCAAGGACACATCTAAAACCTGCAGGGACACCGGCCCTCGTGGACTGGGATTGGGGACCCCTAATTTAATAGGATTGTGTGGTCAACAGTGTCAAATGCTGTCTAAGGAGCTTGGAAAAAAAAGATGTCATATATCATGGATTGATTAATACCCAGAATTATTTGCATTTATTTTCGTTGAAATACGGTGAAATATCTTATTATTTTAGTTTTATTTATTTCATTTAAAAAAAAGAGCAGTTAGGACTCAAAAGTCACAGCAGCACCTGCTGGACGTCAGAGGAACTGAACATGTCTCAGGTGAGTAAAGCACACACACACAGTACACCAGTTAAACTTTTATTTTGAAACAACAATAATCCATAATAACACTGATCAATAAGTGCTTTAACACCTGGGCATGGTGTTATAACATCAGGCTCCGCCCTTCAGGTGACCTGCTCTCCTATGTCAGAGGGTCAAGAAGAATCAATAACATCACAAATCAATACATGAAGAAACCAATTAGTTAAAAATCATTAATACATCAGAAAACAATCAATACTGATCACATGGAAACAAACACATCACATCTCCCCGTGTGTTATCAGTCACTATAGTAACCATCACAGTCGATGATGTCAGCAATGAATGATTAGCATGCAGCAGGGGGCGGGGCTTTGATCTCTCACCTGAACAGGAAAAAACCTTCACATAAAACTATTTGAATGTAGCCCCGCCCTAGGAACTGGCAGCCAATGAGATTAGAGGGACGGGGTTTTCACTATGGTAACTAAACCTACCCACAGTTCCTTTATCCAGTGCAACAACTCAGCTATCTAATAGCTAACAGGCTAATGCTAACTATCTCAGCATGACTCATGAGCCAACAGCTAACAATGCTAAGTAGACTAGCTAAGGGCTAACGGCAGCAGCTGATTGGTTCAGATTGTCGAGTACTTTGATCCCTGATTAACGAGGATGATATGCTGATCGTAAAAATCTGTTTAAGTAGGTTCAAATCAACAAAATACTCCAAAAGATACTTCCAATAAACTCTGAAGGTAACTTCAGTCTCTAGACTGCATCATCACAATGACTCCGCCCACAGCTGGGCAGCTCTGCCTTCCTACTGGTTAGAACTCCTGATTGTCATAATCTAAATATTAATTGGTTATTGGAAGTTTTATTGCTCTCACAGTGACCGCAGTGTTCACTTTGCTGGTTTCAATAAAGTTATGTCACTCAAAAATAACATTTTATAAAGTTACAGCTGCTTGTCAATAAAATTTCACTCAATAAAGTTTGACTGTTTTTGATAAGTACAGCAGCTAACAAGCTAACAGTAGCACCGATTGGAAGACTTTTGTGACGTCACCTTCATCATCAGCATCGTCATTTTTTCCCAGCCTGCCTTTGGCATCATCAAAACCCCTCTGACCTTTGACCCTGAGATTCATATTTCTATGACAACCGTCCAAAAGACACAAGGACAAAAAACCTCTAAAGAAAATCTATGACATCAGATGACGAGTCTGTCATCATCATCATCATCATCATCATTAGTATCATAATCATCACAGTAGTGCAGTAAACAAACACACCAGTGTGGGTGGGTGTGTGTCAGTGCTCATTGGGCATGTGTCTTATGGTGTGAAAGATCCAGTCCATCTTCGTGCTCCAGCCGCCGTGGTGAGCGTCGTTCATCTGCTTGGTGAAGTACTCCAGTGCCTCCTGCTGGCTCTTCTCTGAATGACAGACAAATGGGTTAGAGACAGACTGGTTAAAGAAAAGACTTACAGGTCATGTCCAAATTCATGGGCTGCTTCCTCCTGAGGACGCAATTGTAGACCGATTACGTCACAGCGACGCGCCGAAGGCTGTCAAATTTGTAGACTCCTCCGAATGCAGCCGACAAGTGTGGCCTCCTTTTACCCGAATTTGAAGGATGGGTCAGGTGTGTCCTTAGTGGCCCACCATATCCCAGAAATCATAGCGCGGCCCAGCCAAACTCCAGTTTCCGGCAATGGCGGCAGCTACTAAGTTTTAAAATTACTGGTATTAATCTAAGGAGCTTGGAAAGAAAAGCGTCTGGACTTGTTTAAGTTGCTTGAAGATGATTCACCTCTCATTTGAGAAGCTTCTTCAGTTCTAGGGTCAAATGGTGGAGAGTCCCAGATTTAAACCTAGTGGGAGTTTTCCCCCCCAAAGAGGGACAAAGGACCCCCCAAAAAATAAACTTTTAACATATTTTCAGGCGAGAATGTGGGCGTGTAAACTTCTAATATCTGCTCAGTTTATCAAGATATCGCATATTTGCAAAAGTGCTTCGACGTTTTTGGAGAGGTCTGTTACCCACCAGCTCGATAGCTAGCTGAGAGCTTGAGGGTCACTGAAGCCGCCGAGAACGGCACAACTCCCGGCACATCATTTTCAGATCACCGCGGACTTTCGCTACTCAGGTTAAATGTAATATAAGAATATATAAGAGGACCAGAGATTAAAGTTATTAGATTAGATTAGCTAAAATAAAACTTTATTAATACCCCGGGTGGTTTTCACACAGCTGAATAAACGTCAAACAGAAAACTGATTACACAGAAGTGTGAGATGGTCGAGAATTTACGCCGAGTTTATTAAACTCCACCAAGACAGCGGTGATGCTAATCTGAAGGCTAGACCGTTCAATTCCACAGCCGTTTACTTCCGGCCTACCCGACCTTCTGAGGACCCGGCCCACATAGACCGCGAAGGCCGGGTCCTCAGGAGGATCCAACCCATGAATTGGGATATGACCTTAGACAGGCCGGTCTATGACAGATGGGTTACAGACAGTTCCAAGTACTGAACTGTCCCTGTGATGGACAGGAGATGGTTGCTTAGAACAGGCACTCTGCTGCCACCATGGATTGGTGGAGTTCTAGACATCTACAGCATCATAATACCACCTGTCTCCTGCCCGTCTGTCACCCCAGTCTTACCCAGGGCCAGGGTTTTCCTCAGGTAGGCAATGTCATCAAAGCTCTGCAGTTCAGGCATCCCGCAACCCAGCATAAGGGAGAAGAGATTGATGAAGAGGCTGGCGTGCTGACGGATGGCGAGGTATGCTTTGTAGCACATCTCCTGGAACCTAAACAGGTAGACAGAGAGTGAGGCGGGCTCAGAGGGAGACAGGAGGAGGTGCAAAGAGGAGGGACAGGGCACCTCTCGAACTCCTTGGTCTTGGTGGACTCCTGGATGCCTTTACTAATGACGATGAGGAAGTCCTGAGTAAGGACAAAGGGTACACGCTCCCTCTTGTAGCCAAATTTCTTCTTCTTGTGATCCAGGAAGTGACCAAAGTCAATGTGGAACAGCTGGAGGAGGCAGACAAAGAGTTAGGCGGCTGCAGTCCCAGGAAGAGCTGTCAGGGCGTGGGGTCAGAGGCTCACCTGTCCATTCTCTTTCACCATAATGTTGGAGTTGTGGCGGTCTCCGATTCCCAGGATGAACGTGGCAACGCAGTAACCAGCACATGAGCGCGTGAACAGGTCGATGGCCCGATCGTACCTGTGGGACAGACAGGAAGTGAGCAGAGGGCAGACAGGTGTTCATGCAAACAGGTGTGCAGAGGGGTGTGCTCACGCTTCGCCGCGGTTCTTGTCTTTGATCCAGTGATGCAGCGTGTTGGAGTTGAACTGCAGCGCCCCCTTCAGGCCTCCCTTGCACTGAATCTGCATGATGGTGAAGCTGTTCTTCACAACCTCGATCAGACCCACGCAGTCACCGATGGAGAGGCATCCATAGGGCAACATGCTAATACACAAACACACGCTCCGTTAGCCAGGTGTCGGTGTGATGTCACAGCTAATGTCACGGGCTCTCACCGCAGGTCCAGACCCTGGTTCTGCCAGATGTTCTCCATGATTTTAATAATCTGCAACGTTAGCATATCCTGACGCAGGTCTGTAACAGAACACACTACGTTACCCACAGTGCCCTGGCACAGCTGTAAACAGCAGTAATACAGTTAGCGCCAAACTCGTTACCATCTCCGTTCTTGAAGATGATCTCGTTGTTGGTGAAGAGAAGCTCGGACATGATGTCAGGGTTTTCCCAGTTCAGCCACAGGGGGCGCTTTGCCGAGGACATGATCCTGCACTCCTCCAGCCTAAAAGCACATGACACTTTTTAAACACTGTTTTACTTTGTTGTTTTTCAAGCCTGAAAACACGCTGATGCAGTCAGGAAGCTCTTTAAAGAATAAAAGACTTAAAGTCGGTCAATATGCAGATGAATCACGTTTATATTTAGAAAACCCCACATTTCACTACCAAGAGCTATAAATATCCACACTGATCTTAGTCATAGTCACACACACTAAAAGATCTGGTCGTGCAATGATCGGTCAGGTAGGAAGTCATGCAGTTATTTAACCAGTTATGCCTACCTGAGATTTCCCAGCTGGTGAACTGGATTCAGTGGAGAGACGAATCCCTGCAGAGCTTCCATGTAATCTGGACGAGACATGTGCTCAACCAGAAACTTCATCTGAGTCTGACAACCAATCGCAGTACAGAAACACACGTCACCGTCAGCCAATCACAAGTCAGATTTAAGTTGCTTTGTTTGTTTTCATACTTTCTGAGTCTCGTCCTTCTTCTCCTGCTTCAGTGTGTCGGTCAGATTCACCAGTTTATCCATGGCCTCTACCTGCACACACACACACACACACGCACATACAGGTGTGTTAGCATCTCAGTTATACAAACGAGCAGGTGAGAGAAGCTTCGTTAATCACTGACACTGCTGTTTCACTCTGCTGCTCTGTGTTATTTTCACGCTCTATTCTGTGTTTAACCATCTAATATTTTTCCAGCATGATACTTCCTGTGAGTATGTGTCCATGCTTCTGATTGGTCTTCCAAGGCTCCCTGGTTCCTGTGAACTATCTCACAGGTAGACTGATAAATCCTGGGCTGAGAGACACTTTTGTTGTGTGGTGATGGTCTTAGGTTAAGAAAAACTAGATAAGGAGCTCATGTTGAACTGGACTCAGAAGACCAGGTGTGTCAGGGCTCACCTGTCTGTTCAGGTGCTTCAGGTACATCCCGCAGGCTCTGCAGAAAGCTTCCAGCAGCAGACCGAAGCGTCGGGAAACCGTCTTGTTGTGCATCTCTGACCTGCGAGAACACTTCCTGTTAGATTAAAAATGGCCAAACAGACGTGTTAGATCCCTCAGGTAAACACCAGGACATTTGCACTCACTTCAGGTGCCAGAAGAAGAAGTGCCCTATCCTCTGATTGGTCAGAGCTTTCTTTATCAGGAAACGGGCCAGAGGATTGTCCAGGTACATCTCATACTTCAACACCTGCAGAAAAGACCATGAGACAAAAGACGAAAGATAAGTGTATGTATGTGACAGTATACAGACAGGTGCTGCAGAGGACTGTGTGAGGCACACAGCAGCAGGTGTGCAGACCCTTTACCATTACCACACGCACCTGTACAAGTTGCAACAGGTACTGCGACAGCTTGTCATCCGTCAGGCCCTGCACGAGGCAGCGCAGCGCAAACTCTCGGACCATCGGGTCGGGAAAGTTACAGTCCAACAACTCGAGAGCCGACTCGGGCTCCATCAGAGGCCACTCCTTCAACAGACAGTACATCTGAGGGAGGGGACAGGTGACAGAGAGACAGGTGAGTCAAAGTGAGGGTTTGAAGCATTTTTCCCTGACTGTGATGGGAAGTTCGGTACCTGAGAAACTTCGTCTCTGGAGTTCCATTTGACAGAAAGAAGCAGCTTAGGGAGAGACTCTGGGATGTTTACACAGTAATGTCTGCAGAGATACAGACAGGCAGAGACACAGGTAGACAAATGGGGAGAGACAGGTAGACAAGGCCGGTGGACAGGAACATGCACAAACAGAGAGAGTCACGTGAAGCTGCCAGACATCTAAAATCAGACAGACAGAAAGGTCCAGAAAGTTTCTGTGTCAAAGATCACGTTAGGTAAATCTGGGACTATTTAGACCTGTTCAAATGTACCTGGATCAGAGGTTTAACTGTGGGTTCAGAACGTCACAGCGTTCAGAGGACATGCCTCCAAAAATACACCTGCAGGGTGTTCACTCCATTACATTCATTCTCACCTGTGTCTCCAGAGGAAGTCCTTCTCCTGCTCCGAGAGCTCGTACAGCGGATCTCTGGAGCAGAGAGAGCGAAGCTGCTCGGCATCGCCTGGTGAAACACTGCTGTCACAGGCCAAACGGCTGCTCTGAGGGAGAGGTGAGAGACGGGTGAGAGACGGGTGAGAAACACAAACTGCACAGGACTGCTGCTGCTCTTCGGTCGAGATGAAACCTATAAAGATTACACCACAATTCCCAAAGAGGCAAAAAGAAGCCAAAGGCAAAACAGCTGGAGAACAGCTGGAAAGCAACTGTGTTCACTTTGAGGAAGACCCCGAAGAAGAGCACTGTTAATGGAAGGAGAGCACACAGGAAACCACTACCGATAGATAGTGGACCTCTGGTAGAGGACCTCTGGTAGAGGACCTCTGGTAGAGGACCTCTGGTAGAGGATCTTTGTAGAGGACCTCTGGTAGAGGACCTCTGGTAGAGGATCTTTGTAGAGGACCTCTGGTAGAGGATCTTTGTAGAAGACCTCTGTAGAGGACGTGGTCTGAGGATTTCACACACACACACCAAACCTCAGGGGGCAGAGAGGGAGTTTTTAATGTTGTAGTTACCAGGCCGTGGCAGTAGTTGTAGCCCAGCTCTCTGCTGATGGTCCAGTTGGCGTGCTCTTCAATCTGCTGCTCGTCAGGAAAAACAACGATCTGATTGAACCAGGAGAACTCCAGCTCCACGCAGGGGGTCTCCTGCAGACCACAACACCATCATTAAATACTTACTTCAGGATCAGATACACTTCTACTGTCTGAGAGAACTTGTTGGGCACCTTGTTGGGATTTGAACCCGCGACTCCAATGGGGTTGAGCAGGTCCTCTAGGCCATGGGGAACAGGCCACAGGCTGAGAGCCACCTTACCACAGACCAGGATGTCCTTGTAGTCAAACAGGTTTACATTCCCCCAGGCCAGAGGGCAGTGCTCCTGTGAGACAGGTGAGACAGAGGATGTGTCCTGGCTCCTCCCCTTCTATCGAGCATGCATCGATGGTCATTTCACTTGATGTAAAATGTGCTGTTCTTATTTAAACAGCTGACTCTGAATTGAATCTAACAATAAAAATAATTAAATCCAGGAGGAAACAAAAACAGCATGTTGATACGAGGAGATCCTGACGGCTGCTCCAACAATGATCTGATTATATTTGAAGAATTAGTTCAGTTCTCTTCCAAACCCCGGCAGCTGTCTGTGGTAGGTTTAAGTATCTACTAAAATAAAATAAAAGCTTTCTAACCTCTTTGTTTCTATTGAATAAGCAGCATGAACTGTGCATACATGTGTACAGCTTTTAGCTGTTCACATCTGACTGTGAAGCAGATGATATGTAAAAGGGCATTTTGCAAAATACTTTAAAAAGATTTTTTCCTTAAAGAAATCGATTACTTTGTGCAGTTTTTTCTGTCATGTGTAATTTCCATTGCGCATATCAATCACAGTTAAATTAAAGGGTGGTGACAGTGGAAACAATGGAGCTGAGCTGTGATGTCATCAAGTACACGCCCGTTCCAACATTAGAACGATCGCCGCGTCCTCCAGTTCTCAGGAACTCCAGATTCCCGTGGGAACTTCAGAAGCACGAGTGGGACGAGTACGGACTTGCGTACTTGAGTACTGAGAAACGACCTGAGACAGGTTCAACCAGCAGTCTTACTACACAGATCACTGTACACCCTTCTTTCCTACCTCCTTAGCTCCTTTCCTTCCCTTCACAGAGCAGATAGACAGGCAGAGTCTGGCTGAACGAGGGAGGTCAGCCAGGTAGATGTCATAGGTCAGCCACTCATTCCACCTGAAGACAGACAGGTAAGAGTTAGGTGCAGGTAAAAGGAGCGACAGGAGGGGGGCCGATGTTTTAACGTGTGTGTTTGGGTGTGTCGTACCTGGGGTTGGAGCAGGGCACTCTCTGGGTGTTGACGTTGTCACAGAGCGGCTCTCCTCCGTGATAGATCCCTGTCCTCACATAGATCTACACACACACAACAAAATCCTATCTGATGTTTTGGTGGGACTGATCCAACCATCCACCCAAACATCCAGACATCTAATCCAGTCCAGTGCTCCCTCTCTCCAGCTCAGAACCTCTGCAGAGTCCTGGGTCTCCTCCTGCTACGACCCTGTGAGTCCTTCTTTGAACTTTAAAGCTTCTCAAAGCACGTAATAGTTACTTGAGTCAGGGCTGATGCTTGATCATGATAACACCTGTTAGACCCCACATGTGATGCGGCAGGTCCAGGCAGCGAGTACCGACTCACCTTATCGATGTCTCTGATGTTCACGTTCACGTACGTGGCGCAGAGCAGCCGGACTCTCAGCAGAGTGTTGAAGGCCCACAAGGAGCGAGGAGGAGAACCGTCGCCTCCTCCTGGACAGGGAGACGGCTGAGGAGTCCGACGGCTGAAACACACACAGCTCAAGTCACCTCCTGTCCTGTGATACCTGCAGGTGTGACACCGTGACGGCCATACCTGTAGGAAGGCGTGACGAAGCCTGAGGCGGGAAGCTGAGAGTAGAGGCTGTCTTTGGACACGAGCATCAGGTGAGGAAGACGTCCCACGATGATGCAGGAGCGGATGTACTGCAGACACACAGGTGAGGAACTGAAGATCACCCAATCCTGGATGACACTTTAAGCTCACGTTGGACAGTCTCACCTGTCCTGTACGTGACATGTGAACTATGGGCAGCAGGTAGGTCAGGTGTAGGACAAACTGTGACAGGTGCAGTGAAGCCACAGGATCAGCTGTTACCTTATACTGACTGAGAGGAAACTTCTCCAGCAGGTACTCATCGCAGCCACACACCTGAGAGGCACACAGGGAGGGAGACAGGTGAGTCGTCAGGTGTGGGGGCAGACAGGTAGACACAGACAGACAGGCGTACCTTAAGGATGTACTGGCCCTGGTACTCCTGAACGCAGAGGCGGAGCTGCTGAGGTGAAAGGTGCATCGATCGGCTTTTCTTCCTGATGGACTCGGCGATCAGCTGCTCAGGTAAACTGTCGTGACTAACCTGCACACACACACACACACCTGGTGACTACCTCACTTCCTGTTCTGATTGTTTCAGGAAGCAGCTCAGTGTCCAGGTTTACCTTCAAGGTGTACTTCTGTTTGGAGTTTGATGGAGACACGATCACCCAGATGGTCACAATCAGGCGCCCTGCACAGACAGGTACAGGAAGTCAGACAGGTATACAGCACCGCTACCAAAAAACAGATTTATTCATAACATCGGGAAAAGACCCAGGGAAACCGAGCTAACAATATAAATAACAATATAAAAACGATAAAAACCCTGAAAGCCTCGACTCTTGCGACCCAAACGACTCACAGACCGGTACTGGTCCAGGACCTGGGGGTGGGGGCGGCTGTGCTTGTAGCCTAAGTGAAGCAGACGCATTACTTAACGATACTGCAGCTTCCTTGAATGGATTCAAGGTGCAACAGGGAATTCGGCAAGCATGTCCTGTTTCCCCTAAGCTTTTTATATTGGCAACTCAGTTGTTAACACGACATACAAGGAATATCAATTTTTAATAAAGACTTCAAAATAAGTCAATTCACAGATGATACAGCTATTTTTTTGAAAGAAATGCGAGGTAGAGAAAACTAAAGCTTCTCCTCCCTACCCTCACCTATGGCCACGAGCTGTGGGCAGTGACCGAAAGAACGAGATCGCGGATACAAGCGGCAGAAATGAGCTTCCTCCGAAGGGTGGCTGGCCTCTCCCTTAGAGATAGGGTGAGAAGTTCGG